GTCGGCCCAGATCGCCCCCCACACCTGCAGCGTGTGCTCCATGAGCCTGGCAGGGTCGCCAGTGGCCCCCTCGGGCCCACCATCGGGGACTTCCAGCGCCGCCGGCTGCTGAGGGTCGCGGACGTGACGATGGACCACCGAAGGCCTTGTACGTCAGCAGCCCTTGGCCCACTTGACGTAGGCGGCGCCCGAGGACACTAAGGCCCGGCCCCAAGAACGCGAGCGCCAAGTCCCCGTGAGTTCGACGAAACGCTCCAGGGTGTCCAAATCCAGAGGCGGCCCGTAAATGAGGCAGGCCACATCAAACCACTCCTGAATCTCCTGGTGAGTGGCCCTGGGCCCGAACAAGACGGCCCTCGGCTGGGCCTCGGCCTGGTCGATCAGGCTGGAGATGGAGGTGGTCAGGGCCCCTTGCTGATCGGGATCCCTATCGTGTCGGCGTAGGGCAGTGCACCGTGTGACCAACGACGATATCGCCCACCAAAACTCCATCGTAGGGTTACGAATGTGAGCGCGCCCAGGGGACGGCTGCAACTTGCGCCAAGTGAAGCCATACAAGCTGCCGCGGCCGATGTACTGGGCCTGCTGGTCTGACTTAACACCTTCAGTATGTAATATGGCCAGTTCCAAAGTAGATACCCATCGGTGGTAAGACTGGGAAACCCTCAGCACGTCCACTTCAGCGCCAGAGGGGAAATCCCAGGCCCTCGAGTCCGAAATGGTTCGGGCCCAGGGTCGAACCTCCGAGGCAGCGTTGACCCAGGTATCCGATTCCAACAGAAAGGGTACCTGCTCGGCACCATCGTCAGGTTGCTCGTCATCAGGAGGATTGACCTCGTTGAAAGCCCCCTGCAAATCTGCGCTGAGACGCTCCCGCCCGCGGACCCGAGCCTCCTCACGGCGCCGTGATCTCTTGCTGCCAGGGTCTGGGGCCTTCTTGGGCCTGGGTCGCCGTGGGAGCTCACTGGGAGCGCCCAAAACTTGATGCCATCATTCAGCGTGGCCCGAAAGGATCTCGATATCCAAGGCTACATGGGTCTTCCACGGAGCTAACGCGAAAGCCTTGACTCGAATGTGGTCAGCAAAGCCCCTCCTGACCACCAAGCAGTCGATCAATGAGCCACTACCAAGCGTACAAGTTGCACTGCATCTGCTGGGGGTGACAATCTCCCCGTCCCAGACCTCGAGCAGGCCGCGCTTGGTCAGCACGTCTGGCTCCAAATTCCAGTCTGCACAAATGATCCATGGATCAGCCAGGGGGCAGACAAACCTGCAAATGGAGCGAATGCGAGGAGTATCGGTGCCACCAGTTTTGGGCCCAGGAAAGAGGTAGGCAGACAGCAGCACCACGCTGCCACGTTTGAGATGCAGGGTACTGGGGCAAAATCCTTCAATAGCTCTCGGTTTGGCAGAGCGAAAACGTTCCTAGGAGGTGGCTGCAATGTGCCTCTTGTGTACAATACACTCGCCTCCCCTGGAGCCTGAAGATGAGGACGCTGATGCCGAGGCAGGGGCCCCAACCATCTTACATCCGTCATTAAACAACTCCGAACGGGCAGCCCCCATACCGCTGAGCTTGACGTGGGTCTCAGCGAGGGCAACCGCCTCGAACATGGAGCCTGCCCCGCGCATGAATGACATAGCCTTCGGGCCCCACTCACTGATGTTGGCGAGCAACAAACGGGCTGCGTGGGGATTGGCGAGGTCCTCCTCAGATGCCTCCGCACACGGCCCCCCCGTAGACGCCCTCGGGGTGAAGGGAGCTGAGGCCGAGGCCGGAGCCAAGCACGGGGTGCACCTCGGGGTTGAGGCAGACGCTGCTGCAACCGAGGCACCCGTGGAAACACTCCGACCCAATGGTGCCGAGGCCGAAGCGGCCGCCGAACTCGGAGTGCTCCCCGAAGCTGAAGCCGACGTAGCCGCACACGGTCCACCCGTGGAAATCCTCGGGCCCCCAGGTGTCGATGACGAGGAAACCGTAGACATCGGAGTACAGCCAGGCATCCACTCTACCGCAGGGGCCGCGGCCGCCTGTCGGGGCCGAGCGGGCATCAGTGCAGGGCCCCGCGCCTCGCCTGCACAGGGAGTCGGGAAATCTGGTGCCTCCGCCTGAACAGCTGAGGAGAAGAACGGCCTTCCACAAAATGGCAAGACCACCGTAGGCGCAACGGTCGTGGTCTGTCGTCTCTGCGGGGCCATGGCGTCGAGCTCACGACGCGCGTCGATGTAACCCAGGGCATTGCGAGCCAACTCTGCCTGCCACATCGTAGTCGATGTCGCGGAGGCTTTTGAGGTGATCACGATAAGCTTGCCGCTGGCGACGGCGAGCATGCCACGCTCGCTCGCAAATCTGCCTGGCCATGTCCAGCTGAGCGACCGCAAGGTTGCCATGCCCTGCTGAATCAGCGGCCTCTTGCACAAGGGGCTGCAGTGCAGGGTCTGCCAGGAAGCTGGCAACGTAAGGAATGCAAACACGCTTCCAGTCGGCCAAGTCAGTAGCGTCATCAACAACGCTGGGGCCAGGCACCCAGGCGCCAGCGAAAGACCTCAGCCGCCTCTCAAGAAGCTGTATATTGTGAATGGCTGCCCGCTTGGCAGGGTCCTGATCCTTGCGCTGGACCGCTCTGCCCTCGAACTCAGAGTCGTCGTCGCTCTGGGAGGTGCTGAACTTGCAGCGGCCGTGGACCTCAAGGTCGGGGAAGAAGGCGAGCTCTTCATCCTTCGTGAGGAAGATGCCCCCGTAGTGCGGGAACGGCAAGCCGCCGCACGTGGCGGTGTCGGTGCACTCGCAGGCGCTAAACTCCTTGCGTGTCCCGCTTCTTCTCGTCAATGGCAGCCGTGGCCTTAGCCCTGGCCGCAGCTCGCAGGGCCTCAGCACTGATGCGCTCGCCACCGCCCCGCGACGATCCAGCAGCGCTGCCGCCAGTAGAAGAGGCACCAGCAGCAGGAGCCGAAGGCTCCGCGGGGCCCGAGGCTGGGGCTCCATCAGGGCCGCGGCGCCTCTTGGCCTGCAGCCTGGCGTGGAGAGCCTGGGCCTCCTCTCGCAGCTCGAGGATCTGCTGAGCGGCAGGCCCCAAGGCCTCCTGAACCTTGGCCTGCACGCTGGTGGCGAGCTCGCCCTTGATGCGGGCCCACTCCGCGCGCTCCGTCCCGTCGACCTCGAGGCCCTCCAGGTCGAAGAGGGGGCCATCGACGAAGCGCAGCGAGCCCTCGTCGACGAGCGTCGAGAGGTTGATGGCCGTAGCAGCGGATGCCGCCTCAGACCGCGGCGTCGACGGCGATGGCAGCTGCTTGGCGCACGCCTCCTCCCAGTCCTGCTGGGCCTGGCGCGCCGCCTCGGCCGCTGCATCCTCCGCCTCCTTGGCGTCGGCCAGCCAGGCCTCGTCTCCAATGACGCGGCGCGCACAAGTCTCAAGCCAAGCCTGCGCTCGCCTGCGCGCGATCCCCTTCGCGGAGACCTCCTCCTCCAAGAGGGGCGGGCGGCGCGGGGCCTCGGCAGGCTGCTCCTTCGCGGCCAGCTTGGCGGACAGGGCCGTGAGCTCGTCGCAGTCCCCCAGCTGCTCTCGGAGCAACGCGAGGGGGTCGGCTGGCCGCGGAGCCTCACGCACGTCCTCTGGCGGCGGGCCGCCGCCGCACGGGTACCAGCCTGGCCCGTGCCAGACCCATGGGCGGCGCTCCTTCGGCGCACCCTTGGCGGCCCTCGGCGGCACAGGGGGGCCCTTGGCTTGGCCACCCGCGGGCGGCGCCGCCGCTGCGAAGGTGTCGAACGGGTTCGAGGCGAGCATGGGCGGGCCGAACGACCACTGGCCCGCGGGTTTCTTGTCGGGAGCCGGGTGCGGCACCATCGGCGAGCAGTACTGGTAGCACCAATGTTTCGACTTGAAGTTCCAGCGGTAGCGGCACGCCGAGCAGCTGACGTAGGTGCCCGACTTGTCCTTGCCCTTGCCGCAAGCTCCGCTGGCACCCTTGCTGCTCGCATGGCGGCCCATGAGCTGACGGCCCTGCTGACTGTAGCAGGGCTCCACACCGGGGGAGAACCAGGCGGAGAGTATGAAAGCAGCCGCGGACTAGCGGTATCCGTTTGGTCCCCTGAGGAACAAAGCATCTTGAGCCAAAATGGCTACGGAAGTAAGAAGAGGAGGAGGAGGAGGAGGAGGAGGAGGAGGGGGAGGATGAGGAGGGGGGAGTAAGAAGACGAGGAGGAGGAGGAGGAGCAGGAGGTGGGAAGAAGTGGGATCAGCTGACAGGGCAGACAGGAGGTAAGAATCGGGATCGGGGCGGGGGCCAAGTTTGCAAGATAAAGCCGCAAGCTGTCTCGCACACCCGCTCTCCCAAAAAATAGAGCACCCGAGGCGCAGAATGGGCATATATCGATGTGCCAGAGACAGCCACGGACAACCCCGACGGGCGCCAGGCGCACGACCCGCGCTTGGTGCACGAAGTGCACCAGCCAAGTGCGCCAGGTGCCACACAGTCCAGCTCGCGTGCCTCAGGATCTGCTGCTCGCCCGCACCATGGCATCATTCTGCTGGCCAGGACACACCCAACATGAATTCTGCGCTGGCTGGGAGGCCCGCGCACTGTCCAGTGGGCGTGTTTGTGGACCGCATTCTCGCCTAAGCGTTCGTTGCATCTTGCTAACTCGGCGAAACGAGTTCATTAGTTTGCGGTGGTGTTGTCGGTGGTGATGGTGTGGATGTTTGTTGTCCTCTGTGTGCCACCACGTAAACTTGTGGTGCGCTGCAGGGATGGAGTGGGGGGAGCATCGAACTCGGCCAGCGGCTACCCGTTGGGGGGGGGGGGCCAAGGTGTTTTTTCACAAAGGAGCAGGAAGGGACGGAGAGGGAGAGGCAGCGGGCCAGAAGCAAGGGAGAAAGTAGGAAGGGGATTGAAAGCGGGGAGGAGCAGGAAGAGGAAGAGGTTGCGTGCGCAAAGGCAAGCGTAGATCTCGCGAACCCGTGCCCGCGCCGGAAGCTCGTTCTCAAAAGCCGGCTCCTCAGAACAAGCACGACGTCATCATCGAGTTGCTCAAGTCTCACGGGGCTCGCTAGAGGCGTTTTCCTGCCTTTCTCATTCCTCCTACTCCTCTGGAGGCCTCCTTCGTTCCTCATCCGCCATCATCCGCCCTCCTTTTTGGAGAGCTACGAGGAGAGAGAGAGAGAGAGAGAGAGAGGGCACCAGCCCTGGCCATCCAGACTTCCGTCTGTCCATGTGCTCCGCCGCGCGCACAGTCAAACCTCTTCATAACGACGAGTAGTTCGAGGAGGGGAGGAGGTAGAGGAGGAGGAGGAGGAGGAGGAGGAGGAAACGGACGAGGAGGAGGAGGAAACGGACGAGGAGGAGGGGGAGGAGGAAGAGGAGGAGGAGGAGGAGGAGGAGGAGGAGGAGGAGCCGTAGCCATTTTGCCTCAAGGATGGGGTTACACCCATCCTGAATTTCCAACCTCGCTCAAGAGGTTCAGCCGTCATTGCTTCCTCGCGGGCCACCTCCCGTCAGAGGCCAATTTCTCGGTGCGTTTCACTGCGCGCCCTTTCGCCCTTTGCGTCGCTGTGGTGATGGGCAGATCTGGAGGAAGATACAGTCACCAGGATGCGGTGCTCGCATGCCCGACATGCGGATGTAAGAAGAACCCTTCGAATTTTCAGTTATGCTACCATTGTCGTGGTCGTCTCCCGAAGCTTGGCAGCATCGTCATCCCTCCGCCCCCACCACCCGAGGCCTGGACCCGTGCTCTTTGGGTCCAGGGGCCAAAGAGGGGTGGGGCAGGCGGAGGCCCGAGGGCTGGAGGAAGGGGTGGAGCTGGAGGCAAGAGAACGAGAGGCGGCGGCCCACCCTTGGGGCGTTCTCACCGAATCCCCGCAACCTCCCAGCTCGTGCGCTGGGGGCGTCCTTTTGCGCGTATACCTTCCCTGGCCGCCCTCCCCCCGCAGCTTGTCCGCCCTCCGCTGGCCCTGGCTTGGAAGCCACCGAGCGGCTGACCTGCCCCTCCTCCGCCTCCTCCTCCTCCTCCTCCTCCTCCTCCTGGTGGTGTGTGTGTGTGTGTCTGTAATCAGCTGGGCGTCTGCAGCAGTTGTGCACCTCAGGTCAGTTCGAGGGGCTGCTGCCGCAGTCACCAGGTGACGCCCTCGCCAACGCGTGCACGGAGGCCCGCCTGGCCCGCCAGGATCTGTTCCCACCGACTCGCCACCTCCAGCGTGCCGAGCCAGAAGGATTGCGTCGTGAGAAGAAAATCGAGACATGGAGGCTGCTCATGCTACGGTTATCGGTCAGATTGCCGACCTGGAGCAGAAGCACCAGGAGTTCGAGAAGTCCAGTTCGGCTGAGAAGCGGGCGATGGAAGAGGCCAAAAAGGAGGAAGCCAAGCGAGTTGCCGCCCAGCCTGGGCTTCCTAATACCAGCGTGCTTCGCAGTCACATGCAGGTCCTCTAGTCACTGCTGTCAGGGATCCAAGGGGCTGAGCCCAAGAGCATCCTGGAGCCCAAGTACAAAGAATTCGTGGCCGCGTTCAACTCGCCGTTCGCTGCTGAGGAACTGGCTTCGTCTGAGCAGTCGGTCCCTGGCATCGATGAGGCGTACTTTCAGGAGGCCGCGCAGGTGGGCGAAGTTTCGGATCAAGCCAAGCGCCAGATCATGGAGGCCATCCGCGAGGCTAGCAAGAAACTTCGTTTTCGTTCGCTTGGCCGAGGAGGGCGCCCCACAGCGGGCGTCGCCGCCATTGCGCGTCACCACGCCCACCCAAACGCCGAGGGGGGGGTCGCAGGAGGAGATGCATCCTCCTCCTCCTCCGATGAAGCAGACCTCCAGCTACTCTGATCCTGTACCTGGTGAAGTGTGCGACTTCAGCTGGAGTCAATTCTCTACATGGTCGATTCCATCGCGCTCCAACGTGGGGCCATCTATCTCACCTGAGTGGCGCATAGAACGCAGCGGCTGTGGCTCTAGCCTGAGCTGGTCCGTAGCGGACCTCGGGCTATCCACAGTTGCATGGGGACTTCCCGCTCAGTCTTGCGGCGTCGGTGCCAAGGCGCGCACGCCCCCCCTGTCCAGCTCGCGCGAGTTGGGCCGCGGGGGCTCTCGCACAGAGCACGCTGAGGCATGTCGCCACCCGACGAACGTGGGAAGTGTAGTTTTTCATCTGGCTCAGGCAATGGCTGATCTCGTCACAGGATTTCATTCGATGACGCATTCGGAGTTCCAGATGATTTCGGAAATCCGGACGCGCACCTCAGCGCAGAGTTCGCCGTCGTCTCAGAGGCACCCCCTTGCGAAGGCTGCCTTGTCACCGCAGAAGCACTCCAGCGAATCTCACGCGAGAGCGCCCGAGGGCACGGCGACCGCGCAGAGAGCCCTGGAGATCATTCACACTGGCGGATCGGCTGGAGGGGGATCGCCGCTTCATCGTGATCCACAAGAAGCCAGATTACACTCTCGCAGACGAGCAGGAGTTCACGGTTTGCATATTATCCGCAAGGGCTTCGCCCCTCGCCGCCGGCCCCCTCTCTCGGAGAATGGGCCATGGAAGAGCTAAGTCATGAGGCCTTGGCGCTGTCGCGAAGCAGTATCGAAACTTCATGCGAAGCCGAGTCGCAATCAGCAAAACCAACTTATCACAAGAGGTGTTACCACACCTGGCGATTTGTAAGACGTGTATGGTTTAAGGGCTTGGTTACCACACCTTGCGATGAAAGGGCCGAGGGAGTTCTCGCAGTTTGGGTTACCACGCCTTGCGATGGATGTGCGCGATGGGTTCGAATTTCAGAAATGTGGCAAATCCCTGGTGTTTTTTGACCCTGACCCCGCGGATCTGCGCAAGGGGTGGCGCCGAATTTGAGAAATGTGGCAAATCCCATGTGTTGTTGGACCCTGACCCCGCGGATCTGCGCGAGAGGTGGCACCGAATGTCAGAAATGTGGCAAATCCCTGATGTTTTTGGACCCTGACCCCGCGGATCTGCGCGAGGGGCGGTACCGAATTTCAGAAATGTGGCAAATCCTTTCTTATGTTTTTGGACCCTGACCCCGCGGATCTGCGTGAGGGGTGGCACCGAATTTTAGAAATGTAGCAAATCCCATATGTTTTTGGACCCTGACCCCGCGGATCTGCGTGAGGGGTGGCACCGAATTTCACAAATGTGGCAAATCTCTTGTGTTTTTGGACCCTGACCCCGCGGATCTGCGTGAGGGGTGGCACCGAATTTCAGAAATGTGGCAAATCTCATGCGTCTTTGGACCCTGACCCCGCGGATCTGCGTGAGGGGTGGCACCGAATTTCAGAAATGTGGCAAATCCTTTGTGTTTTTGGACCCTGGCCCCGCGGATCTGCGCGAGGGGTGGTACCGAATTTCATAAATGTGGCAAATCCCTTGTGTTTTTGGACCCTGACCCCGCGGATCTGCGTGAGGGGCGTCGATTTCGAGCCCCCCCAGTAATTCAGACAACGCGCCCAGGGGACGCTGGAAAGTCTTGTTTGGGCCTCCCCCCCCCCTCGCGCGGTCAATCAACTAGTTACAGTAACCAGCAAGAAGTCAACAAGTTACAGTAACCAGCAAGAAGCAGAACTGTAACACTGGAAACTAGAAACTACAACTGGCACAGGAAACTGCGAATCACGCGCCTCGCAGCCTGGTGGCCCCACAAGGGGGCCGGCGGATTGTTTTCCATGGGTCTAGCTGGGCTATTGAGTCAAAGGACAGCTCGGACCTTGAACGCCCACCATCGCGCAGTTTGCCAGCGTTCGACGACATGATAATCGAAACACATGCGGATGTGGTCTCGTTTCAGGAACACCATCTAGCTGGAGACCTTTACCGCGGGACGCAGGCACGTTTGCAGAGAGGTGGCCGGAAGGTCTTCGGCTATGAGTGCATCCATATTGAAGGAGGTCAGCCATCAAGCGGCACCATGACATGCGCCCGTCGCCACCACGACGCGTGGGCCCCGCCAGGCACTACTGCAGCGCATGTTGTGCGAGGTCGCGTCACGAGGAGCTTCTTTCTCAGCGCCGCGCTGGGCCCCCTCGCCAGCTACCCCGCGCATCTCGAGGATTCCGTGGGCCTCGAGGGCGAGAACTTGACGGCAATGAAAATGGTCTGGGGCGACGCGTTCCAGCGTGGGCCCCCGCGCGTCTCGGGCGGCGACTCCAGCCCCCGGCAAACTCTCCCGGCGGGCCCCCGACGAGTCAAGCAGGCGCCGTGCTCGGGGCCCCTCCAGCGCCGACCTATGATGCGCCGCGCGTAGCCTCCGCGCTGGGTTACTTCGTGGCCCACGTGAATCTAGATCACGTCATCCCGAAGGTGGAAACCGACATCGAGGCCCCCTTTTCAGCCCCCACAGGCCCGCCAGCATCACCCTTACGCAGGCCATCCAGGACATCGCTGCCAATGTGCCCAGAGGCTACCTCAAGGCCCCTGCCGAGCACGACAGTGGCCTGAAGTTACCAGAGATGGATTTCTCGGATCTAGAGAGCAAGTTCAAGGACTTCTTGGAGCCGCGACTTGGGGAGTCCAGGAATGCTGCCATGGCCCGAGGGGCCGAAGAGGATCGCGGGGCCCACCTCCTCATCGAAATATATCAGCACAGGTTTCCGCGAGCTTGGAGCGAGGTTGCGAGTGCCATGCATTCCAAAAGAGGAGGTCTTCCAGGTGGATCGCCGTTAGAGTTCGTGCCTGTTCGGGCGCCCACTCTTCTGGCCACGAAGAGGACATCTGCTTTCCCGAGTCGCGCCATCCAGTGGGCGCATCTACGCGCCAAGGAGCTGCTTGCCTCGTTCGGGGTGGACGCGAAGCAGGATCACCGAGGCCGGTTACTTCAGCAATGGCGCGATCTCCCCGTTTCGCAGGTTCTGGAGGAAGGGATGTAGCTACTGGCATCCATTCCCGTCGATTGCCGAGCGCGCGATGGATCCGCACGGCCACGAAACACCCCGATCCACCCTGAACAAGAGCCTCGAGTTTCTGGGAGCCCTGGGCCCGCCATGGACAGCTGGAAAACCGAAGCCGTTCTCGGGGGTCCTGGAAGTCATGGCGCGAAGGAGCTCTCAGCAATGGGGGCAG